AGGATATGGGTGGTGATATCCTAAACGGCGAGGATATATTTTGTTGCATCCTGGGCTGCGACGATGTGCACGGTTGTATCCTGGGCGGAGAGGATATTGACTGATGGATCGTGGATTGCAGGGTTTCAGAAGACGACATCTTGGACGGCGAGGTTATGGAAGACGAGATGCTGTAAGACGTAGTTATGGGTGGGGAGATCCTGCATGGCGATGTTATAGACGACGAGGTTATGGAAGGCGAGATCCTGGAAGACGAGGTTATGGAAGGCGAAGCAATGGATGGTGATATCCTGAAAAGGGATTTAGGGGACGAGATTCCGGATTGACTAGTCGTGGATTCTGAAAGTCTTGATCGTGATGGCGAGAGTAATCTCTTGGGTACAGTTTGCGCTTGCATCTCAGTCTCCATGCGTGCACCAATAAGTGTATTCATCGTACACACATACTTCCTTAGAGAGACATTTGATTTTCTCTTTTGCATTTCGGAGAGCTTAATGTGAGAAACCTTGATCACCATGTTAAGTTTCAGCACCCTTTTCTTCCTGTCGGAATACCTGAATCTCGTGGAGAAATAATCCATAGTTACAACAGGCAGTCCAGAATATCTGCTCGAGCAGGGAGAATCAGCAGTAATGAAACAAGGTGACGTGAGATCGTGTTTTATTGTGGTGATCCAGAACTTCTCATCTTACAGGTGAGGTGACTGGGATACACAGTGTATTTTCCCAATTGAAAGATTTTATTCATTAAAATCGATTTAGGAAGTAGCTAAAGTAACACTGCAGATAAAGTAAGATAAACGTGACGTTAAAAATACAATCGTTACCCTGAGATGTCTAAACTACGCTTGAAACGATCAAGGGATCCTACGTCTTTTATGTGTTTCAGTGATTCGTTTAGTTGATCTAAATAGGGTTTTGAAATGGTCAAAATATTGGCAGATGCTGTTTAATGCTAATAAATGTAAAGTTTTGAGGCTAGTTAATGATGATAGAGTTACATGATACGAGCTGGATGGTGTTGAGATTGCGAAGTCGGAATGCGAAAGGGATCTGGGAGTTATGATTAGTAAGAATTTAAAACCAAAGGATCAATGCATAAATCTTCATAATAAGGCAAATAGGACACTGGGATTTATTAATCAAAGCGTTAGTAACAAGACACCTGGTGTTGTTCTTCAGTTCTAGTTAGGCCCCATTAAGATATGCAGTTCAGTTTTGGTCGCAGTACTATTGAATGGATATAAATTCACTTGAACGAGTCCAGCGTAGATGTACAAACTTAATTCCGCAAATTAGAAATCTTTCATATGAGGAAAGATTAACAAAGCTTAAATTGCAATCACTGGAAAGGCAAAGTGTTAGGGGTGACATGATAGAGGTTTACAAGTGGATGAATGGAAATAACAAAGCGGATATTAATGGAGTATTAAAAGTATCAACACAGTACAGAATGCGAAACAATGGGAAGAAATTGAACAAGTTTAGATTTGGGAAAGACTTTGGTAAATACTGGTTCGGTAACAAGGTAGTTGATTTGTGGAACCAATTACTACGAAACGTAGTGGAGGTGGAGTTCCTCGATTGTTTCAAGCGTTGGATGGAAATGTACATGAGTGGGATTGGGTGGTTATAAATAGGAGCTGCCTCGTATGGGCCAATAGGCCTTCTGCAGTTACCTTATGTTCATATGCTACACAAATCAACAACCCTGTTACCGAAGCAGTATTTACTCAGGTGTTTCCTAAATCTTAACTAATTCAAATTGAGTCATATATATGTCTAACCTATGATTTAAACTATCCAAGGATCTTTAATCTACTATGTTACCCTGTAATTGGTTCCCCAAATCCTCAGCTCTCTCTCAAACAAAATTATTTGGGACTTTACTAAATCTAAACTTGCCCAATCTGTGTCCATTGTTTCGAGTTTTATTATGTATTGATTTATTATTGCCTTATTACATAAGAACATAAAAAAGATAAGAATCAATTAAGCTGCAAAAGGCCTATTGCCTAATACATTGCAGCACCAATTAATATCCTCCAACTTATATATAAATGTCTAACCTACGCTTGAAAAACTCAAAAGATGCTACGTCTATTAAATTAGGCTCCACAAATTGACAATTCCTGTTACCGGACCAGTATTTACCCACATCTTTCTTAAATCTAACTTTATCCGACGTACACCCATTGTTTCATATTCTATTTTATGTACATACTTTCAACTCTCTATTAATATCCCATATGCTATGCCCATTTATCCACTTGAACATATAAATCATGCCACTCCCCAATTACGATTTTTTTTTTAAATGTAAATAATTTTTTATCATACTCTCTTCATATCAATGGTTTTTAATTTGTTTCTTCCGAAAATCGGGAGGGGTAATAACATAAGAATATGAATAAAGTTAACTGCAGAAGGCTTATTGGCCAGTACGAGTTAGAACCTATTTATATCCAACCAATCTTATTCATATATACATAAGAACATAATAGAGGTAACTGTAGAAGGCCTATTACCCTATACGAGGCAACTCCTATTTATAACCACCCAATCCCACTCACATACATGTCCATCACTCACTTAATGCAATCAAGGGATCCTCTCCTCCACCAACTTAAGCGGGAATTGGTTTCACAATCAACAACCTAGTTACCGAATCAGTGTTTACCCAGGTCTTTCCTAAATCTAAAATCTAACCTAAATAAACCTAAATTTTAACAATTTAGACTCATTTTTTCGTGGTCTGACTCGTGTTGATGCTTTTAATACCATATTAATATCCCCTTTGTTTTGTCCATTCATACACTTGAAAACCTATATCATGTCACACCTAATTTTTCGTCATTCCAGAGAAAGCAATTCAAGCTTTGTTAATCTCTTTTCATATGACATATTTTGAGGGATTAGTTTTGTCATCCTACGCTAGACATGTTCAAGTGAATTTAGATCCATTCTATAGATGGATATATTGGCAGTTCATGTTTAAAAATTTGTTATTCCTTTTATCCAGCATAGTTGAGGCAGTTGATAGTGGTAAGGATAGTGATGTTGTATACCTTGACTTTAGCAAAGCTTTTGCAAACCAGGTCCAACCGTTTTTGAGTTTCTGTTAGAGTTTCCCCGCGAAACCAAGAAACATCACAGTCAGGAGGTTCCATCTCCTATCCTCCAACAGGTTGGCCGGGGGCGTGAAAATTTGTTCTCTAGTCTTCCGCGTAGTTTCATTTTAGTGTTTCAGCGTTTCCTCTGTGCCTGAACATCTCCCTCAGGTCGTCTAGCTGGGGTAAAGAGTTTCGTGTCTAGGATATCCAGGAAATTTATTGTGGTAACGTCGTGTTTTGCGGAAAATTTATGTTTCAGTGGACTGTGTTTGCCCAAGCAAAGAAACCCTCTTGACATGGTAGTCCGCCTACCTTAATTCCAAAGATATCGTCTGTATATCTGTAGTACACTGGAGGTACGGGGCGTCATTTCAGTTGAATCTGTCCCTTTCAAATACTACATGCATGAAGATGTCTGCAATTGCTACGCTACTGGACGCTCCTACCTCAGTGCCCTTCGTCTGTCTATATGCCTTACCATCAAATTGAAGGAGTGTGTGTCCCTCATTACATGGATTATTCTTACAGTAACTTTTTGTGAGACATCCTCCATACTCCTGCGTCTCGTAGTTGTTTTGTAATTTTTATGTCTGTTTTCATCATAGATGTTTGCTACCACTTTGGCTGCTTCTCTCTGTTGTGTGCTCGGGTAGAGCGATACCACATCCATTCAAAAAATTCAGTCTCCTCTGGGAACTGAACCACTGATGCTGACTATCTCGTTTAGAAAGTCTGTTGTATCGTGAAGGAGTTTCCAGAAGGAGTCAAAGAGGACTGCTCATATCCAGTCCACCAGTCTTGTAGGCGCAGACAGCCGCTCAGCACTGGTCCCCCCTGCCACGTTTGTGAGAACGAACGTAAAGCTTGGGATGACAGACACCAAGACTATGTTTCATTCCCTTGCCCATGCTTTTATGCCCATCTGTTTTTCAAGCGTAGATTAAACATATAAATGAGTTTGTGTGAAGATAACTAGGAGCTGCCACATAGGAGCCAAAAAGCCTTATGCAGTTTTATGATGTATGTTTTACCTGAAGGAAACATTGATGTATTTGCATAGAAGTGAATCCATGAAGTTCTCTGAGATATGAAGTAAATGAGATATATGTAAATTTTCACGTTTATTTGTTTTTAATTTACAATTTTAAGTGGATTAGTTGCATATGTTATACTGAGATAACATGAGGTGATAGTAGAGACCAATTACTGGATAATATTGGAAGTATTGTATAGCTAGATCCTGAGCAGCGAGGTTTTAGATTTATGAATGCTGGGCTGCGAGGTTATGGATGTTTGCATCCTTGGGGGCGACAAAATGGATACTTGCTTCCTGGGCGATGAGGATATGTATGGTTGCATCTTGGGCGGCGAGGATATGGGTGGTGGCATCCTGGGTGGCGAGCTTATTGAAAATTCCATACTGGACGGCGAGGATATGGGTGTTGGCGTCCTATGCGGTGAGGATATGGATGGTTGCATCCTGGGTGGCGTTGATTTGGATGGTTGCATCCTGGGCGGCGAGGATATGGGTGGTGATATCCTAAACGGCGAGGATATATTTTGTTGCATCCTGGGCTGCGACGATGTGCACGGTTGTATCCTGGGCGGAGAGGATATTGACTGATGGATCGTGGATTGCAGGGTTTCAGAAGACGACATCTTGGACGGCGAGGTTATGGAAGACGAGATGCTGTAAGACGTAGTTATGGGTGGGGAGATCCTGCATGGCGATGTTATAGACGACGAGGTTATGGAAGGCGAGATCCTGGAAGACGAGGTTATGGAAGGCGAAGCAATGGATGGTGATATCCTGAAAAGGGATTTAGGGGACGAGATTCCGGATTGACTAGTCGTGGATTCTGAAAGTCTTGATCGTGATGGCGAGAGTAATCTCTTGGGTACAGTTTGCGCTTGCATCTCAGTCTCCATGCGTGCACCAATAAGTGTATTCATCGTACACACATACTTCCTTAGAGAGACATTTGATTTTCTCTTTTGCATTTCGGAGAGCTTAATGTGAGAAACCTTGATCACCATGTTAAGTTTCAGCACCCTTTTCTTCCTGTCGGAATACCTGAATCTCGTGGAGAAATAATCCATAGTTACAACAGGCAGTCCAGAATATCTGCTCGAGCAGGGAGAATCAGCAGTAATGAAACAAGGTGACGTGAGATCGTGTTTTATTGTGGTGATCCAGAACTTCTCATCTTACAGGTGAGGTGACTGGGATACACAGTGTATTTTCCCAATTGAAAGATTTTATTCATTAAAATCGATTTAGGAAGTAGCTAAAGTAACACTGCAGATAAAGTAAGATAAACGTGACGTTAAAAATACAATCGTTACCCTGAGATGTCTAAACTACGCTTGAAACGATCAAGGGATCCTACGTCTTTTATGTGTTTCAGTGATTCGTTTAGTTGATCTAAATAGGGTTTTGAAATGGTCAAAATATTGGCAGATGCTGT